GCCATTCTGACAGGAGTGAGATGGTATCTCAGAGTTGTTTTGATTTGAATTTGCCTGATGGCTAAGGATGTTGAGCTCGTCCTCAAGTGCCTCTCAGCCATTTTAGAATCCTCTAGTGAGAATTCTCTATTTAGTTCTGTACTCCACTTTTTAATTGGATTCTTTGGTGTTTTGGAGACTTGCTTCTTGAGTTCTTTGTAAATTTTGGAGATGAGCCCTCTGTCAGATGTGGGGTTAGTGAATATCTTTTCCCTTTCTGTGGCTGCCTTTTTGCTTACTGAGTGTGTACTTTTCCTTCTCAGTTTCAGGAGGTTCCATTTATTAATTGTGGATCTTACTGTCTGTGCTACTGGTGTTATATTCAAGAAGCCGTCTCCTGTACCAATTCGTTCAAGGGTACCATCCACTTTCTCTTCTAAGAGGTTCAGTGTGGCTGGAGTTATGTTGAGGTCTTTGATCCAATTGGACTTAAGTTTTGTGCATGGAGATAGACATGGATCTATCCACATTCTTCTACATGCCAGCATCCAGTTATGCCAGCACCATTTGTTAGAGATGCTTTCATTTTCCATTGTATATTTTTAGATTCTTTGTCGAAGATCAGATGTTCTTATATGTATGGATTAATATCCGGGTGTTCAATTTGATTGCATTGGTCTATAAATCTGTTTTTTGCCAATACCAAACTGTTTTCAGGAGTACAGCTCTATAATAGAGCTTGAGGTCGGGGATGGTGATCCCTCCAGATGTTGCAATGTTGAGTAAGGTTGTTTTGCATATCCTAGGTCTTTTGTTTTTCCATATAAAATTGATTATTGTTCTTTCAAGGTCTGTGAAGAATTGTGCTGGGATTTTAATGTGGATTACATTGAATCTGTAGATTGCTTTTGGCAGGATTGGCATTTTTACTACATTGATCCCACCTATCCAAGAGCATGGATGATCTTTCCATTTTCTGAGGGCTTCTTTAATTTCTTTCTTTAAATTCTCAAAGTTCTTGCAATACAGGTCTTTCACTTGTTTGGTTAGCGTTACCCCAAGGTATTTTATGTTGTTTGTGGCAATTGTAAAGGGTAATGTTTCTCTGATTTCTTTCTCAGCCCTTTTATCATCTGTATATAGTAGGGCTACTGATTTTCTGGAGTTGATCTTGTACACTTTGCTGGAGGTGTAAATCCGCTGTAAGAGTTCCCTGGTAGAGTTCTTTGGGTCATTTATGTAAATTCATATCTTCTGAAAATAGAGAAAGTTTGACCTCTTCCTTTCCAATTTGTATCCCCTTGAAGTACTTTTGTTGTCATATGGCTCCGGCTAGAACTTCAAGTATAATATTGAAAAGGTATGGAGAGTAGGGCGTTGGTGGCACACGCCTTTAATCACAGCACTCGGGAGGCAGAGGCAGGCAGATCTCTGTGAGTTTGAGGCCAGACTGGACCGACAGCCTCCAAAACAATACAGAGAAACCCTGTCACAAAAAAAAAAACCAAAAAAAAAAAAGAAAAGAAAGAAAGAAAAGGTATGGAGAGAGTGGACAGCCTTGTCTTGTTCCTGATTTTAGAGGACTCATATTGAATTTCTGTCCATTTAATTTGATGTTGGATTTTGGTTTGCTGTATATAGCTTGTAATATGTTTAGGTATGTTTCTGTTATCCCAGATCTCTCCAAGACCTTTATCATGAAGGGGTGTTGAATTTTGTCAAAGGCTTTTTCATCATCTAGTGAGATGATAATGTGATTTTTGTTTCACACCTTGTTTATATGGTGGATTACATTGATGGAACCATCCCTGCATCCCTTGATGACCCTTTTGCAGCCGAATATTCTAAGAGCAGCGTGATGTCCCTCCCATGCCCTCCACAGATGAGACTGTCAATAGGCAGATCTAGTTCCTCTGTGGTTCATAACCATCACAGCCTTCCCCCCACAGTCTCTCTTCCAATCCAGTGTTCAAGAACTAGCAGTTATTTATGAATGGGCCAGTGAACAGAATAGATGGCATCTCCTGCTCAAATCTTAGAAATGGAGAATCTGCTGAGGGGCAGTCTCTTTGAACCAATAAATAGTTAAGGGCAACACATCTAGCTAGGTGTCATGTGAGAACATGGTGCCATGGGGTGGTGCTTGTCTGACTTGTTCATTTGAGGCTTTCAATAGCCTAGGGACAGAGGTAGGAAGACATTATTTCCAAACTCTCAGAGTAATTGCTACAATACCAGGGTAGTTTTTTAAAAAATTTACTGCCTTGCAATGTCACAGTCACCGTTTAACATTAGCTCAATGACAAAACCACCTACAGACATGTTTCTCAGAACACTTCTCTGTGGTTAGGAAAGATGTGACTGTTTTGGTGAGGAATTACAACTTATGGAATATTTAGCTAAAAGTGTTTAGGTTAGTGTATGGCAACTAAGTCTTGTTTCTCTAGCCTTAACTATTATCAAGTATTCAGAAATTACCATTATGTTTTTATTCATGGACTTAAGTTTCAGGGATGCTCTTGCAACAGCTTTCTAGAAGCCATTGTCTCCAAAGGCTGAATGATGCCATTGTGTACATGGCACTCACTAGCCATTCGTCTCATGATGGACACTGAGTGGCTTCCTCCTCTTGGTTATTATAAATAATGATGCAATGAGCAAAAGTGGTCATTATTTCTTCAAGACCCTCCTTTCCCTTCTGTTTTGATACATACCAAGAAGTGTAATTACTAGATCATAAAGGGAAATCTGTTGTCAGTGTTTTCCCAAATGGCTGCTCTGTACATCATTGGAACTGCCAGTCAACAATCATTTACTGCATTCCAGACCTGGATTACATGGATCAGTTTATTTAATGCCTGCAGTGACATTTTAAAGGGTTACTAATGTCACCTGTGTTTCAAGGTTAAAAAAATGATGGGCTTGCTGGGTCCAGTGGCACACATATTTGATCCCAGCACTTGGGAGTCAGAGGCAAAGGTTTGAGGCAACAGCCTGCTCTTATTTAGGGTTGGAACCGGAAGGAGGTGTTCAGACTTAGGCATCCCTTTCGGATAAGTTTAGAATTTAGGTGGAATGGATATGTTTAGTTTAGGATAAATAGATTATAACTTAATTATCACCCTCTGTGTATATATGTTGTATATGTTTGAGTTTGTATCAAATTTAAATCTTCTATTTAGACTAAAAGGGGAATTGTAGGAGTGAACCCCACAAAGCTACCCGCCCAACAGGGCGGGGTCAAGGTAGAGATAAAAGGTAGTGAAAGGAAAAGGGGCCTCCCTCTTTTTCTCCTGGAAGCCAGCCACACTTCTAACTCCTGGTATGTGCGACTCTCTCTCTCCCTGATAAATAAATATATTGTTTTTCCCTATATAGCCTCGATAATCGATATAATATTGTGGGCTCCAGAACAGCCAGGATTACATAGAAAGACCCTGCCTCAAATGAGCAAACAAGCAAACAAACAACAACAAACAAACAAATGTCCTCCCCCCCCAAAAAAAAACACAGCACCAACAACAGTCCGATGGGATGAGTAAGTTGTGAAGGGGGACGTGAAATTTTACATGGATCCATGTCTGTGTAACCTAAGTCTAGAACCTAAGATCTCTGTCCACATGCGGTGTTTTGTGGGCTCTATTTACCTGCTCTGTGTTTGAATTCAAAAAATGAATAGCTATGGATTTTTGTTAATTCTCCCCTCTCAGAGGCCTGGGTCTTCCCTGGGTCCCTCCATCTCTACACAGACACACTCATTGGGAAAGAAAGCAATGCACCTCTACCTCCCAGACTGGAGCAACTTGCTCCTCTGACCCAACCCACTGGCTAGTAGGCCGTCCCCATCCAGCTCTAAGACTTGTGGAAACTGAGGCCAGAGCCCAGCGCTAGACCTCTGAAGGGACACCTTGAGCCCTAATTTGCGATTGTCAAACACAAGACAGTGCTAGAGAAATTTCGGTATCCTTCAGTCTTTTCTTTGCTCTTTTCATGGACTTCAGGATTTACATGAGAGAGTCAAAACATGTCATTTTCTGTGGCAGGAAGTGTTCTCACTGTGGCCAGTGCAGTAGTCTGCTTCCATTTCTGCTGGACTGGGAGGGACTGCACTGCTGTCTCCTTTGAGTCCTTTTGCTGCAAGTGTGATTCACCTGCAAGGTGCTTCTTGCCTCCCAAGCTCCTGACCATTGTGTCTGGGTTAGAGCTTACCGAGTCAAAGGCTTCTAGAAAGCCAGTTGTGCCTCTGTGTGTGTGTGTGTGTGTGTGTGTGTGTGTGTGTGAGAGAGAGAGAGAGAGAAAGAGAGAGTACGTGAGTGCTTGCATGCATGTGTGTGTGAGTGCATGCATGTGTGTGTATGAGTGCATGCATGTGTTTGTGTGAGTGCATGCATGTATCTGTGTGAGTGCGTGCGTGTGTGCGTTCATGTGTGTTCCATTCATGCAGTGCCACACATCACAGTACAAACCAGCATTGTGGAGATCAGAGAGCTAACTAGGAAGGGAGGGAGATGGGATGAGGTGGGGGACAAGAAGCAGAATGGTTGAGGATTGGCCGTGTGTCTTCAGACTGTAGGTGGGCTTGATTCCTGACAGTGGGGCATTTACTGTGCACCACTTCCTCAGCTACCTAGCCTCTCTGCTTCATGGTTTCCTTAATAGGGGAGAAGAATGAGTTCACTGAGGGCTAATATTAGGGTAAAATCTAGACACACATTGTGTATGTCTATGCACACCATAGTTGTTGGCTGTTATTGTTGCTACTGCTATGAGGTTCCTTCCCATATGCTATCAGTGAGATTGTGGTGTCTGCAGAAGCCACCTGAAAACTGGTTAGCATAGGAAACTGACAAGCAATAAAGCGGACAAGTAGATGGTTTCCAAGGTGTCAGGACTCCTGCAAGCCAACTGGAGACCTGCCTGCCTTTGAAGCACAGAGGGAATTTGAAGTGAGTTGTGCAGCTGGCTGACACAAGCTGCCTGAAGCATAATTTGCATCTGTCTACGTCCCATCTCTCCTGAGGGTTAGACAAGGCAAGGATTTGTCTTAACCTGACACTGGCCTTGGGTCCTGAGGATGGTCTAGCAGGAGCCAGCGTTAGCAGACAGAACATAATCCATGTTCTTGACACCCTCGTAGAGAGACAATTCCTTGTATAATGTAAGTTACTTCAGCAGTCAGTCAGCCTTCAGGCTCCTCCTGGGGATAGGTGGGTGAAATGTCTACAGCTAGGCTCCTGTTGAGAATCAAAATGTCTGGCACTGAGGAGAAATGACACAGCCTAGTGTTAGATGGTTCTACTACTGCAGTGAACAGTTCTCCACTGTTCTTCCTCAGGGATCTGCCGGGGAGAGGAATCTAATGTGTATAAAATGTTTGTCCTTAGGTTCAAACAGCCCATTTTCTGACACAATGCCAACTTTGAGGACCAGAAAAAAGCAGCCATGAAATCGGGGGTTTGGGTGGGCACATTGATGGAACAGGAATTTCTCCGTTGACGTCAGAGCACAATGGAGCTATTATCAATACGTGGGTGTCTGACTCACAATGTCCTCATCAGACTCTTTCTCCTAGCATAGCCTGGCTTCTAGTGTCTCTCTGCCCCTTGTTAGATTTTCTTAATTCCTTCCTGGTGCATTCTTTGATGGTTTATGATGGGCCTCCCCAATACCCTCCCTACCTCTATTTGTTTCCCCCTCCAGTAAACTGTGAAAATCGCCCTAAGGGACAGGGTAGAGGAATGTATAAAAGCGCAGCACAGATGTTCCTGGACTTATTCCTTCCCTCTGCTCGCTGGTTACCTTCATCCTAGAGAAGCATGATGCTCTCCAAGATTCTGGTGATCTGTATCTTGTGTGCTCTGGGTATGGCTTTCTCCAGAGTGGACAGAGGTATGAGTACCTTGGAATCCTTTGGAGAATGGAGTTGAAGTGTGTGAGTATGTGTTTGTGTGGAGATTGTGTCGGAGGTTTTGGTTTGTGGCGAAAGTTTTAAGTAGAAACTGGGTAATTCTGTGAAGGTCGTTTTACGTGAGATTGGCAGCTGAGTGACTGACTGAGCTATTATTTGGCTGTGAGTTTGAGTTAACCACACAGAGTTAACAAGCTTGGTCATATGGGACCAGGGCAGTTATTTGACATATTTCTGATAGTCCCATCCTCTCTGGGCATCAAGGAGGTGATGTGATTCTGGTGAATTAGGGTGAAGAGATGGAGATGCCTCCACACAGTGAGCTTCAATTATGTTTGAGAGCATTGGCAGCCATCTTTGTCACAGATTTTGTACTGTCTTGATCTGGGATAGAAACTTGTACCTTGTTGAGTGAGGAAAGAAATAATGTACTCATGAGCCAGAGAGAAAAAGAACTTCCAATCCCAAATCTTTTTGTTTAATTTCTTTCTGAAGTCAGGCAATTTCTTAGGAGAACTTCCTTCCCAGCTTAGTGAAAGTGACATGTTGCCTTCACTTGCTCTTGTCAGATGACTCTCACTGTCTGGGCTGCTGGGTAGGTTTCCTCACTGCAAACACATGTGAGATGAAGCCAAGTGAGAGGAGACAGTGATGCTGATGACAGTTCCTGTCACAGTGAGATGAGTCCCCTGTGCATAGTAGACTGTGAGGTTTCTGTAGGTGATTAGCCCTATGACATTAGGGCTTAGTGTTTTGGGATGTGCCGAAAATGGGTTCTGGACTCAGGGCATTGGATGAAAAGTAGTTGTAATGGAACATGTTAGCATTCATTCCATTCTTTCTTACATTGGGACCAGTGGTTTCTATAAATTTGAACCATAAGTAGATTTCAGAACTCTGGAGGGATTATAGAAGTGTGTCTTAAGATCTTCTTTTGCATCAGTCTGACCAGCACAGATACAGTGGTACAATACAGGTTCTCTTTCCTCAAATGACTCCTTAAAGAAGGCAAGAGTAGGCTGTGATAACATTGCTCTGAGAAGCAGTCAGCCCAGGAACTTTACCTCCTGAACAAGACTGTGGTGAGACCACACTACAGCAGGCACGTTATACTTCCCCTTGGACAGAGGGCAGAGAATATGCTTACTAAAAGACTTGAGCTGTTCTTTCCTGTTGGGTTTCTTTAGAATCCACTAGTAAACACCTACTAGAATCAACTAGATCTAACCAGTTTTTACCAATTCTCTTCTATGACCCACTAGACCCATACTGTGAAGAAGTCATGAATTCATCTGTTGAAACTAAAGAACTACTAGAGAAACTCATTGCCTTCCTCAAGTCACAAATGATTGCACCCCCACCAATTGAGAGGGTGGTAGAACCTGTTCTACCAGATGACACAGACAATCATTCAGTCACTGACTTTAACTGCCCTAAGGACTGTACATCAGACCCAGAAGTGTGTGACAAAAGCATACAGATTTCTGGTAAGTGAGGGTGTGGTTTCTAGAGGTCTGGAAAGCTGTTTCTGTCCCCATCTTGTGCCTTCCTCCAGGGCAGCTTGCTTTCCTCCACAGCTGGTGAGCAGACCTGTCTTTACTTCTGTCTTCCTAGTGTCTTCTCCTGAGGCTGAGATAGTTCCCAACAGCTTCCTGGAAGAAGCCACTGAAATCCCAGGTAGGAGCAGTGTGTCTTTAAAATTGTTGGCATCTTCTTTGTGCCCTTTTCTTCTGTCTCACTTCTGAGCGTGGCCCTGTATTTACTCAAGTTGGGAAACTAGCTGATTTGACCTTTAAGGTGGACTAAATTTTACCAAAAATTCTTTGAAATTCAAAGAATACATATTCCACTTTCCTGGAATATTTTCAACAGAAGACACCTGTTGGTGACAAAAGGTTTGTTTTCAGTCACCTGATCAAAGGAATAAACCCTGGGAAGCTCTATATTGCTAGCTCCTTGGATATCCATGTGTTTGGAAATATGGTTAAGAAGAGGGGATTAATCACCTCCTTTTCTCTTCCAGTGGATACAGTACATTACAGACAGACAGTATCCTGGCTCAAAAATTTTTATACGTGTAGATGTCCTTTGTATTTGGACTGAACAGAAGTAAAAGGAATTTAAGGCTTCATGAGTTAATCAATGGATCTCTTTGGCACACTCATTTATATCATCCATCCATCTATCTATCTATCTTTTATTCTTTCCTTTCTTTCCTTCCTTCCTTCCTTCCTTCCTTTCTTTCTTTCTTTCTTTCTTTCTTTCTTTCTTTCTTTCTTTCTTTCTTTCTTTCTTTCTTTCTCTCCATCTATCCATCCATTGACAGGGTATTTCTATGTATCTCCAGTCCTGGAACATTATATGAACACCTGGCTGGCTCTGAACTTACAGAGATCTGCCAGCCTCTGCTTCCTGGGTGCTGGGATTAAAGGTGTAAGCCATCATACCCTCTGCATTTTCCCATTTTTTCTGTCATAAATTTTCACGTTTTTCTCCTCTAAGATAAATGTTGGTTGCTTGAGTGATTGATACTTAAGGTGAATTGAAACTATTTCTTTATTTCATTGCAGGCTCGATCCCCTCCTTCCCTGGTAATGATTTTGTAAGTCTCTTCTCTTTTATCCCTGATACCTCCCTAGAGAATTTTTGTTCTATTTGATGCCAATTCTAGTCCCTTCAGAATGGACTCCACATTTAATACCTCCCAAAGTTGAGATAAATGCAGGCATGGACAGGAATGGTGGCACAAATCTTTAACCTGACAACTTTGGGAATCTGAGGCAATTGAATCTCTTAGATCCAAGGCTGCCAGGTCTACATAATAAATTCCAGGCCAGTCTGATCTATGGAGCAAAACCCTATCTCAAAGTAAATGAAAATAAACTAAAGTATAAAAAGGAAATTATTCCTTTATGCAGGCCTTTTCTATTCAAGGATCTGGAGCTTCATGTACACTCATGACAGGACACAAATTGCCTCTCCATTGAGTATTCATAAATTCTCATTTATCTCTCTAGGGTGTGGAACACAGTCCAACTCATGGACTCCTAGTCAAGCCACCATCTAACATATAGAATATATGATTCCATGAAAAACACAAGGAGTCTCCTGAATTAGCAATTCCTGTTTTAGTATCTCCTCTCTTCTGGCTTTTAAAATGATTTTTAAAATTATTATTTTATGTGAACAGGTGTTATGATGCATATATGTCTGTTCACCATGTGTGTGTCTGTTACCCACAGAGGCCAGAAGAAGGTGTCAGAGCCCTTGGAACTGGAATTAAAGATTATAATGAGCTGTCATTTGGGTAGTTGCAGTTGAACCTGGGTCTATTGGAAGACCAGTCTCTATGGCTAACTGTTGAGCCATCTCTCCGGATCCTCTTGGTTCTTTTTGTATTTTTGTTTTTTAATTCTCTATTATGATTGTGTATAACAACAGAATGACTATCATCAGAGTGCTTAAATTTTTCATGTAAGACACAGGAAGATAAGAGCTGATAAGGGACTATATACAGAAACATAAAATTCCATACCCAAGTTCAGAATGTTAAATGACTAAATATGGGCCCTATCTTTGAGGTTCTCTTGGTAACTCCTGTTTTATTTATTTTATTTTTAATTTAGACAGAGCAGTAAAGGTCTCATTTGCTGTGACAATCATTGTAGTCTCCTCTACTTTCTGAGAAGACCCCAACTTTGAAACAAGCCCACTGGATATTGTGTAGGAAACAATTGAACCTGAGATGCTCCCAACAAAAAGGAAGAGTGAGCAAGGTGTGGTCCTGGATGATGCTTGATGAGTCAGGCTTTCCTGAGCTCTGCCTTTACCTTATGTAGACTTAATAAATAAATGTCCATGGCAATTGTGTTTTGAATAGTTTTTATTCAGAGGGAAAGGATTGCTTAGCTGTATTGTTTAACACACACACAGACACACACAATAACTTTATCTTTCTCTGGCACACACTGTCCTGACATATCTCAGGAACTAGTAATTGTGGTGTTTCCACTTGGACAGTCCCCGATTTCTAAAATGAAATGGCTAGTGGGCTGGTGAGATGGCTTTAGTGGGTAAAGGCACATACTCTGAGTCCTACAGCCCAAGTTCAATCCCTAGACTCACATGGTGTAGGATAGAAGTGATTCCTACAAGTTCTCTTCTGATCTCCCCACTAATAAAAATATAATTAATGTAACTGATTTGCAATCCCCAACTCACTATGGTCAAGTTGTTTAGCATAGCAGTCTTGGGTTCTGGGCTGAGATGCTTAACTTTCTTTTTTTTTTAAATTGTTCCAGACTGTTTTCTTTCTTCAATGTAATTTATTTAAATACCTTTTTTTCATTTATTTTATATACTGGATACATCTCTCTCTCTCTTCCTTCCCTTCTCTTTTTCTTTTTTTAAAATTTAATGTCCCACAGAGTCTAATGGGAGTTGATTGTATGCACACAGGTGTGGGGCCATTTATTGTACATGGGAAACCTATCAATGGTCAAAGTCTTTAAAAAATGATCACTCTCCCCTAGCAACCATCAGCTGCAAATAGATTCTCAGCTTTGGCATTTGGACCATGTGGGTCTTATGCTGAACCACAGCTGATGTGAATTCATGACTGCAGCTGTCATGCCAGATCCCAAAGACAATATTTCACGGCACTCCTTCCTATCCTCCAGATCTCATGTTCATTGTACCTCTCCTTCTGCTATGTTCCCTGAGTCTTGAGGTGAGGGTGGGTATAGATGTCCCCTTCAGAGCTGAGCAAGCACAGTTGCTTATTCTCAACATCATGACTAGTTGCAAGTCTGTCTTAAACATGGCACACTGTAAAATGTACCTTCTGTGACTAAGCAGTTACCTAAGGGTAAGACAGATATTTAGATTTTCAAATGTTTCTCTGCATACCTGGGGTACCTGGATTGATCGTTTTCCTTTTAATGGCTGTGGAGTCTGTTCTACTGCTTACATTTAGCCTGGAATATGCAAATAGTCACCATATCCTGGGAATGTTATAGCGGCTCATAGGTTTGTGTGGGGTTGTTGGTTATGAGTAAAGTTTGGTGACAGATGGGTGGGGCAATGTTGGTGTCTCTTATCAATACACTGTGCTGTCTCAGTGTGGATGGTGGGTCCTGGGTTCTGCCTGTGAGAACGAGCTTTGGGATTTCCTTAAAGTGTACAGAGACCATTACAGAAAGACCTACTTAAAATCGGGAGTGCCACTTATGACTTGGCCCTTGATAGGTGAGAAAGATGATGGTAATTTCCAAAGAATGAACATAGTTTATTCTAAATCTCTCCTTCCTCCAGGGCTTCTATGCTTAGAGTCCAGAGTGGTGTTTCTGTGTTCCCACTATGCAGATGCATACCTATTCTGTCTGTGTTAGAATGTCTGAGTCTTACAAGGACCATTCAGATTATGTTATACCTACTCTAAAAGTCTTGAATTTTATCACTTTTCCCCAAGTACTGATACCAAATATAGTCACATTCTGGGAACATTCAGATGATAACATTTGTTTAAAATCTTTTCTCTGTTAATCACATTTTTAAAAAGCCAGTTATAAAATTAATTTTTGATTCCTAAACTATGGAAGCGATCTCCTTGCAATTCCTTTTGATACCACCTTCAAAATAAACCATGGGTAAGATAACTTATCTCTATTTTATGTCCTTTTGCTGAGGAAATTTCCTTAAACAGAGGAGGGCTGATATCCTTCTCCCTGTCAGCTACATCTCTTGTCAGTTCCCCTCACAGGAGCCGGAGTGGTCCTTTCCAAGTAGAGTTTAGAGAAGGTCTGGTCTGTGTTTAAAATCTCCCACCTTTTCCCAGTTGTGCAAATTTCAACCCTAGGCTGTGCAGCCAACAGCTGTCCCAATGTTTCTGGAGAGTAGTAAAACCCTTCAGATGCATCAACATGTAGACTCTGCGCCATACTTCAAGTCATCACTCCCCCATGTGGTTGGAAAGTTGAAATGATGTTTACCAGGGAAAGCAATGACAGGGGGGTTCAACCTGAACCGAAGGCAAGTGAATTGAAGAGTGACTTGAACAAGGTCCTGCTGTCTAGGAAGCATTTTGTGTAAATGATTTCACTAAGCATTTTGGAAATTTACATAGCTATAAAAACTGAGAGAATTAAAATATAACCTGAGCACTTGGGATGCAGAGGAAGACTATAAAAAGGGCAAGGTCACCCTTGGCTACTTAGTGGGTATGTGACCCTCCTGGGACAATTGAGACCTTGTCTCAAAATGAAACAAAACACAACAAAAAACCAAGTAAGCAAGCAAGCAACAAGCAAGCAAGTAAACAAGCAAGCAAGCAAAGAACCCACAAAACTAAACAAAAAGACACGAATTAATAAAATTAAAAACAAAAGATGGCATTTCAGCAGATTTCAGTGAAATCCAGAAAATTACTGCACAATATCCCTGCATGGAGAGGTGGGTTGGGCATAAAGTTCCATCCCTACCTGTAGAGCTTTTGACAATTCTTAATGTCTGGTATCTGACTGTTGTGGAATGCTACACATAAAGAATATTGGGGCAGCAGAAATTATGCTTGAACACACACACACACACACACTCACACACACATGCACACACAGAAGAGACATACAAGCATATGTAAGTATATTTAGAGAAGACTGGTATTAGAAAGAATGAAGGAAGGTAGCATCAGAGATGCATATGAGAAAAATACAGTGATATACAGATCTGAATATATCACAAGAAAATCCATATGTTGTATGATTCAAAAAACTAAGTAAAACATATGAAAAAAGAATAAAACTATATTAATTTTACTATAATGTATATAAGTGTGCATCATTATATTATGCTAAATAATCTAGCCCTATACCAGGCAGGTGGATTCTGTAAGTTTTAAAAAATGATCACATAAAATTATAAAAAAATAGCATTTGAGTGATATTACAGAAAGTAGTGAGGAGGAAAAAAAGGAGGTTGATTAGATCAAAACCTATTATATACATACATGGGCTTCTTAAACAATAAAAATAAGCATTCCACAAATAAATAATAGTATTAAATATTACGAAATTAAAACAAAACAAAAATGCTTATGAAGACTAACATCATCTGACACCTGCCCTTTCTTCCTCCCCGTCTTCCTCCCTGATAGTTTTGCTTGTCAGCTATTATGTAATCTGTTTCACTGTGACCATTGAGTTCAGAGGTGATAATTTTCTTTTATGATACATTACCCTCTTTACTCATTGCTGACACTGAGGAAGGCCCGGCAAGAGAGCTGATTTGTCTATCTTGTTGATTTTCTCAAAAAACCATCTCTTCGTTGCATTGATTCTTTGTTGTATTGTTTTCCTAGTTTCTACTTTATTGATTTCAGCCCTCAGTTTGATTATTTCCTGGCGTCTACTCCTCCTGAGGGAGTTTGCTTCTTTGTATCCTAGAGCTTTCAGCTGTGCTGTTAATTCTCTCGTGTAACTATTGTCCAGTTTCTTCTTGTGGGCATTTCGTGCTATGAACTTCCCTCGTTGCACTGCTTTCAAAGTGTCCCATAGATTTGGGTATGTTGTGTCTTCATTCTCACTGAATTCTAGGAAGTCTTTAATTTCCTTTTTTATTACTTCTTTGAAACAAGAATGGTTTCTTTGAAACAATAATTCTGCATTATCCAATTTCTATTAGTCTGTAGGGTTTCTGCAATTTGTGTTGTTGTTGAATTCTAATTTTAACACATGGTGGTCTGATAAGATGCATGGAGTTATTCCAGTTTTTTGTACCTGCTGAACTTTGATATTTTGCCAAGTATGTGGTCATTTTTTGAGAAGGCTCTATGTGGTGGTGATAAAGTATATTCTTTTTTATGTGGATGGAATGTTCTATAGATGTCTGTTAATCCCAATTGTGTCATAACTTCTATTAGACCCTTAACTTTGTTAAGTTTCTGTCTGGTATTCCTGTCTAGTGGTGAGAGTGGGGTGTTGTAATCTCCCACTATAAGTTTGTGGGGCATAGATGTTCAGAATTGAAACTTCATCTTGTGGATTTCTCCTGTGATGAGTATATAATGACCTCCTTCATCTCTTTTGATTGATTTCATTTTAAATTCTAATTTGTTAGATATTAGGATTGCTACCCCTGCTTGTTTCTTGGGTCCATTTGATTGGAAAATCTTTTCCCAATCTTTAACTCTGAGGGAATGTCTGTCTTTGAGGGTGAGGTGTGTTTCTTGTATTCAGCAGAAGGATGGGTTCTGTCTTTGAATCCATTCTGTTAGCCTGTATTTTTTATGGGTGTGCTAAGGCCATTAATATTGAGGGATATTAATGACCATTGACTGCTCATTCTTCTTTGATTTGGAATGGTTTTTGTTGATGGAATTATATGTGGAATTCCATCCCTTTTTTCTTTGGCTGTTGGCAAGGTGGGATTATCTAATGCCTATGTTTTTCTGGTTGTAGTTAACTTCCTTGGGTTGTAGTTTTCCTTCCAGAACTTTCTTTAGTGCTGCGTTAGTGAATATGTATTGCTTGAAACTAGTTTTTTCATGAAATATCTTGTTTTCTCCATCTATAGTGATTGAGAGCTTTGCTGAGTAGAGTAGTCTGGGCTGGCCTACATGGTCTCTTAGTGTTGGTAGAATATCTATCCAGGACCTTTCAGCATTTCCATGGAGAAGTCAGGTGTACTTCTGATAGGTTTGCCTTTATATGTTACTTGGCCTTTTTTCTCAGCCTCTCTTAATATTCTTTCTTTATTTAGTATATTTGGGGTCTTTATTATTATGTGGTGAGGTGTAGAGAGCTGTGAAGTGCCGCACCCTTAAGATGGTGCTGGCTTCTGCCTTTTGCTAGCCCGACAGCAGGTGCTCTC